ATGCAGGGCTTTTTCATGTTTAGACATACACAACGGCGTTCAGTCATATTAGATTCTTGCATCCTAAGATTATGCTTCAGAAAAAAAACTGGCTACATACTTTATTTCCAGTACTCTCTTTACTTTGACGTGACTCCTAAAGCTCTTTCAGGGAGTCTTCTCAAGAAGTAATGAGCTGAGTGTTATTGGAGACCTGCAGGGCACATTTATTAAGCTCAGGCCACAGGGCCACACTAAGCAGATTCAGTCTAACTGCCAAAAAATGGGAAGAGCAAAAAACAATTAGTATGCTAATGGGACAAACCGAAACTGCTCTACCTGGTATTACATGCTTTAATATAATAAAGCCTCTGTCTGCTTGGGCTGGATATAAACTTCTCCCCCCAGTCCCAATGACACAGAACCATTACTCCACATACTGCATTATAGGCTTAAAAAAAACAAAAACAAAACACAAGCAAACGTAACAGATTTTTTTAATCTACTGAAAGGCTTTACACAATTTTGCCCACATCCTAAAATATAGTCAATCAGTTAAGACATGTTTGGTGTTTGATGTTTGCTTCTTTAGTTTTGCACTGGAACTACAAGGTTAATGTTAATAAATTAGGCATGTTTATACCAGATAGCTTTGTGCAAGCAACATGCCTAAATCATCACATGTTGACAGTATGACATACTGTCATCTATAAAGATGACCTAAAGTACAGCAAATATTTAGGCTAAAAGGTTGCTAATAATGATATTAGCTATCCAATGTACTTTTTGGCCTTTTTTATAGATCAGCATGTCATCAATAGTATGTAAAGCGTCATAAATTGCATAAGCAAATCTAACTCAGTGCAGCTTCGGACAAGTGTGGCGCACTTTAGGGTTGCATTTTGCACAATACTAACCATTGGCTACAGTTGTATACAATAGTCAAATTATTTGTTTTGTTGATTTTCAAAAGAAAAATCATCAGAGAAAACTTGGGACTTTGGGATATTTTTTCAATGTATGCATGAAACTGTAATTGTGCACTAAAATGTGCAGAAGTGTGTACCAATTTTCAGTCAATAAAACAGGTAATTTGAGCAGAGGTGCCCAAACATTTGCATACAGTTCCATTAACCAAATTAGCTAAAGAAGCAAACTTCAGACACCAGTGTCTTTGGGGTGAAGAGAAAATTGTGTACATTTTTACTGTTGTGTTAAGAAGGCAGTGAGTAAATAAAAAATTATTCAAATAAATGTAATTGGATTTGTCATTACTGATAATCAAGAACAACATTAATATATCCTTTGAAAGCCGAGTCTTCCCCTCCCCTCTACAGATGCTTGCCGTCTGATTTCTAATTCCAGCCCACTTCTCATCACCCAGACAATCAGCGGATTGCTGGATGCACACTGCGCTCAAACGTGGCTGTGAGTCTGCTGCAATTATTTCACCAGGGTGCAGAGATAACGAAACAATCACCATTAACCCTGAAACCCAACCCTACCACCAACCACCTCTACACACACACACACGCATGCAGAAGAACAAGGGCCCTCCAATCACTCTGACTCACCTGATAAAGATCACTCTCCCTCTCCTGCTGCGCTCTCTAGCCATTAAGACACACATGATTAGCCTCAAAGTTCATGGCGCCTTGCTGATGAAGGGCTGACGACTAATCTGACAGCACAGCCGCTTTTTTTATTCTCCATTTTTTAAATTCAGAAGTAAAAGGTGACAGACAAATACCATGTGGGTCGACATTGTTATGTGTGAGCCACTGCTTCAGCACATCTCCTGCTTTTGAAAGAGCACAGTGAGAGCATTGTTTTCAAGCAGTCATGGGTCTCAAGGCCGCACAGCAGAACATAAGAAAATTGCTGATTCATGGCACTGCTTGGCCTAGCCATGACTCAGGGAGAATATAATGGAGCTCCAGCTAACTCACCTCACCGCCTCTCTGCATAAAAGAGTAGCAGCAGAGCTCGCAAACACCCTCTCTTTCTCTCTCTCTCCTTCTGAGCTGCGAAGAGGCTGCAAGGCTGGCAATTACAGGCAGAAAAAGTCGATAGAGATTTAATCAAGAGTTTGGGTGTGTAGCATTAGAATGAGCTGAGGTCTTGCCAACTCTGGCTGTCGTGTATAAGAATGATTTACATTTTGGGCTTTTATAATGTGTTGTATCAGCTATTTGAAAGCAGTAGGAATAATACAGTGTTGTGGTCCGAATGCGACCAATCTGACAGAGCAGCTGCATTTTTTTCGTTTATAAATTCAGAAGTAAAGAGTGGCAGATAAAAACCATGTAGGTGGATACTGGACAAAGGACAGGGTAGGATCAGCCAGACTAGGATAGGATAGGGTAGGCTGTAATAGGATAGGATAGGGTAGGATAGGATAGGACAAGAAAGGACTGGACAGGGCAGAATATGCCAGAAAGGAAAGGAAAGGAAAGGAAAGGAAAGGAAAGGAAAGAGAGGACAGGACAAGACAAGACAGGAAAGTGAAGTAAAGGGAAGGAAAGGGAAGGAAAGAATAGGATAAGTTAGGCTGGGACAGAATAGGGTAGGGTAGGATAAGATAGGATAGGATATTACAGGATAGGCTAGAACAGGCCAGGGTGGGACAATATAGGAGAGGAGAGGATAAATCAGAACACAGGAGGACAGAATGATGAGGTACCATACTGCTCTCTGCCACAGAGATAAACTGAAACACCATCAGAAAGATGACCAGTCAACATACTGCCCTGTCTTTTGCTAACACACTTAAGTGCACACAAACAGCATATGCAAGAGAAATCATGAAAGTTCTTCTTTTAGATCTACACTGCCTCTGCTCCTCACACAATGGATACAACAATAAATATAGCTAACTTTAGGACTGCATTTAAGACATTCAGTCTCACTTATTTAAACTTATTATTGGGGGGTCTGGGGGCATGGTCTCCAGGAGGATTTTTTAATGGCCCTAAAATGTCTGTTCATCATTAACTTTCAGAGCAGCAACAGCCAGAAAAATGATCAAATAATGGCTATTTGGTCAAACTGGCACACAGTAGATCTGTCTTTTTGTAGCTTGTACTAGACAGAGCTAATATGACTTAAATACTATATCCATCCACTTACAACAGGCACAGAACAAGCAAAAGTCAAGTATTGCAATCTCTTTTATCTTAGATAAGCTGCAAAATCCTAAATATATTATTTAGATTCACAGATTATAGATCAGTTCAGTCTCAGTTGGTGCAATCAGAAAGAGTGAAACAAAATTAAGCTAGGTGACAAAACTTCATGGTCAGTGTGACAAATATTATATTTTCTCAATTAAGTACAATTAAATTCAGGATTAAATTCTAACTGAAAGCTCACATAACTCTCCCTCACTTTCTCCTTGATCACTAACCTCAATCAGATCTGTTTCTTCAGCCCTGTTAGTCTCCTTTAGCTTTTTCTCTCTCTCTCTCTCCCTGTGCTTAGTAATACACAATTTTATTAAAGATATACAAAACTCAAGGAAATAATGTGAGATCAATCAATTCAAATTTTTTGTTGTAACTGGTAAAAATCTTCTTATCTTACTGGCTTTCAACAGAGCTGCCGCCTCTTAATTTCCACCTAGAGGTTGAGGAATTGAGGGATATAAAATTGTGTTATAAAAACTGTCAACACTGTATGACCTTTTCACTGACATTAGCTTACTGTAAACAACGAAATATGGTAATTGCTGGTGTCACTGTTTCCAAATACTGAGAAGAAATATAAAAATAAACAATAGAAATATATAAAGAGCTGTCAGCAACATTATTTCTATCTCTGTCACTTGTTCACACTCTGACTATGAAGTAAAATTTCTACAGATATTTAAACTAGTTGGCTTGTCAGCTGGCTAATGCTAGTGTTAGCTTAACTCCTTTTCTTAGTCTCATTTACACTCAAAGTTAGATAGCTAACAAGCAACCAAGTAAAAACTCGACAGCCAGCTATTCTGACTATAATTTGCCACAAATCCATATTGCAGGTGGGTATCCTCACTCTGTAACTACTTACTGTTTCATTGGGTATATTATAGATTTTGAAAAGGGTCTAATGTTTATTTTAGAGCTTTTAGCCAAGATCCTGTCACAACTTCAGCGACTGCCGACTTGCGTTACTAGCGTACAACTTACGGGTCTCATATGATTGGCTTACAACCTAAAAGGTCTGATAGGACTGGCTGAAGCGGGGGTTCCACTTTTCACGTTACATTTGTAAATCTCTGGTAGCACAGCAGAGGGAGCATCAGAGCATTCCCCCCTGTCACACCCTGCTGTCACAGTATATTGTGAATTTGGAAATGCGATGGTACGGTTGAATAATGAAGAATAAATGAGAATAAACTATAGAAGATTTTAACTAGTAATGCACATTGATTTGGGAAGGGGGGACTAAAGCCCCTCTAAAAGTGGGCTTGTGGCTCCCCTGCTTATTATCATCCTACTTAAACTAACATGACATAAAACATACTTTAATAATGCACTTAAGACAACTTACAAAAGCTGCTTTTGCACCTTAGTATCATACCATTTAAATAATTATCATCCAGTTTAAAGTGTATGCAACAAATGAAATCCACTCTTGTGGAAAGGTAAAAGACCTAATAAGGACATAAAGGCGATACATACATCAAATACACCAAGCAAATAACCGAACATCAGCAATATCACAAATATAAGAAAAAAAGAAAGAAAGAATCACAAGGATATTAGTGTATGAGCAGGTTTGATTTCTTTCAACCAAATTCTGAATGTAGAAATTACTGTAAAACACAAATGAGCTTCTTCAAAAGGGTAAAAAGGGTCTCCAGAGACCCCCCCGATATCTTGCCATCAGGAACCCTCTGAAGAATTCCATGCAAATGGGACCACAACACCAAAACATCAACATGAACACATTATGAAATGCTTCTCTGGAGACACGAGCAACGAACAAAAATCCACAAAAAAAATAAAAAGACATTTAAAATAAAATGGTAAACTTGCCAGGTAGTTTGCGGCGGTCACCCCCGGGTATGTAAGATCAAACCGGGTAACCAGCGCAGGCTGCAGGTGAGAAAATAACAAACAAAAAAACAAAAAGAATCACTAGCAAGTAGAACTGGCCAAAGAAGAGAGGAATGAGAACGCAGTCACACTGCATGAGCCACGGCAAAGAGAGAGAGAGAGCAATAGCGAGGAGGTTTAAGGGTTTAGATGGATGAGTGAGTGAGCGTGAGTGTGTTCACACAGTGTCTGTCTAGCCTGAGCTGCGATTCACTATGAGAGTGCCTGATGAGACACAGTCAGATAACAAGTACAGACTCACTGAAGTCGACTTAGTCAAGTCTTTGATACACTACACAACTAAAAGCCTAATAAATCAGATATCTTACTATTTTCAGCTGGTTTCTGAAGAGTCATGGTAGATGAAAAACTGGGGAAAGCGCTACGCTGGCACAATAACATGCTCTCCAATTATTAATAGACACCAGCTACAAAAGAAACATGGAAGTAGTAAAGCTTGATGTTGTTTTGTTGCACTGACTCAACAAAGAAGAAACAGGCAAAAAGGGGTTCTGGGTAAGGAGTTGTAGCCATTATGGGCTGTGTAGACTGAAGAGGGAATTAGAGGTGAGTAGCATATTTGTTGGCAAATATTAGTTGCAAAGCTATGAAGTGGGCGTTGAGAATGTTTACAGCTAGCCAGCTGGCTAACATTAGTTGAAGTTGGAAGCAAATAGCACTTGTTACATACTGCTATGAATAAAGCTATGAAATGGGAAATGAAAATGTTTGTATTTATCTACCTAGCTAGCAAACCAACATCAGCTAAAGTTGGAAATAAACAGCATACTTGTTGGCACATTCTGCAGCCAAAGCCATGAAGTGGAAGATCCGTAGCTAGCTAACATTAGCTTCAACATTAAATCCACAAATGTATTCTATGAAGTACCATTATGAAATAGTAGTTGTTCTTTTTGAGGTCTTGATTTTCACTGGCTTTTAATCGGATCGATTCAGAGATTCGATTACATTCATATTCCAGAAAATCCAGTGTTTGATATACTCTAACTGGCCCTGAAACTAAACCAGGAGGCAAGAAATCAAGGTCTGTGCCCCTCACTCACCTTGAGTTTCTGTGCTAAGAGTTGATTCCAGCTGGGGAAAAAATCTGCAGACTAACCAACTCAAGCTGATTGTGAATCATGGCTTAAACTGGAGCAAAACTCACACAACCCCAGCTTTAGCTGTAGTGCTCAACAAGACCATTACAGATAGGTCCAGTTGCAGCTGCTCCAATAACTGCTATGAAGTTCCAGGCCTCGCCATATTTCTGGGACAGTTTTATCATCATGTGTTTTCTGATGTTGGCACAAGCACAAATTAGACTGTGACATGATCCAAAAAAAGCTTTTCAAAACCTGCTATCTGTTTTGGAGGTGTCAACACAGCGAGGGTGTAAACACAGGTGCACCCATCTCACGTGCTTTGCTACCCAGCAGGGTGCTCGAGACACCCACAGAGTTGCTATGGGTTTCTCTTCCTGAATGGCAGAGTTGTGCTGTTAGTGCCAAACACTGCAAAGCTTTGATTAACAGCAGGGATGGTCATGAAATCCTTAAAGACTGTGGTAACTGACTTAGGACTTCTGGTGTGTGGGTGCTACAACCCAGTGGAAGCTACGCTGAATTTGTCAAGCCTCAGTAAGGTCTACTGTTTCTACAGCACTGTTTTAAATGAAATGTCTACAGATGAGCATAGTTTTCCATTAGAGTCACAAAAATGTTTGCTATGATTCTCTTTTCCAGAGCTGGGCTTTTATACTGTGACCACATGAACATGGTCTTGCTCTGGCTCAGTGTCATCTTAGTTAAAAGTTTAGACCTGTATCTTGTTTTCAGACATGACTGTAGCCTCTTTCTAGCATGCTGAATGTAATAATCACTAACTTCCACTGTCCATACTTTAACTTTGCCGCATTGGATAATTCATAACTATGCAGTATTTTTGGCTGTGTATGCATGGTTCTCATACAAAGCAGACACTATATGCAGGTAATTACATTATGTATGATGTTGCAGCACTGAACAACTACATAGACATTACAGATATTAATGAGCCATGAGTATCTGCATGATGTATTATCATACCTATCCAGTCATTTTACAACTATTTTGCTAAGTTACCAACTTAGCTAATACCATAACAAGCTAAGTATTATCCCTGACTGGCGCTAAAGTAATATATTTACAAACAATATGTTTACAGGGTTATGGAGCATCTGCTCATAGTTTGAGTCTGGGTATTAAGAAGTCTGGTTCCCAAACACTGAACAAATACCAACAGATTAGCATCCTATGCAAATGCACATAAAAAGATGATATCTATCAACATTCTGGGAAGCGGCAAGGCTGTTTTCACACCTAGTTCGTTTGTTAAAGTCCACACCAGAGCTTGAGTTTTGTGATTTTCTTTATTTGGTTTGGTTTCATATTGCAACAGCTACCAATGGGTACCAAATCACACACCGTGGTGTTCGTTGATTTCTCAGGAATTTGACACTGTAAAAAGCCCTCTGTTTGACATTTGCCTCCATTAGTGCCAGAATCATCCTATTTTTTCAGGAACTTAGTCATGATGAAATGTATAATCCTACTCATTATAAATTGCATTGAAATAGAGACATTTAATGTCTGGATGTATTACAATCAAAGAAATAAAAAGACATTTTACATCTTTATGATTGACTAGTTTAATGACGTGTCAGTTTAAGCAATTAGGTTTCTGCTGCCTGGTCCAACCACTTTACCCTTTAGAATCCCAGGCTTATTACACACTAAGGCTTATTATTCAGTAGCTACATGGACTTCAATGCAAACTGGTTGAGTTATTCTTCAGTCAGGTCACCTCTCCCTCCCAACACGGCTGGAACTACAGCTGACACTGCTGCCTTAGACTACAGTTCCCAGAACTCCACGGTGCCTTACATGACTCACGACTCCAACAAACCAACCTATCAGTGATCATCTTCATCGGACTTCTAATCACACACACCTGTTTCTCATTTCATGTCTTTGTTAGTTTAGTATATAAGCCCGGGCTTTAGCTTAGTAATTTGCAAAGTATCATCTCAGCATGAGCATACCAAGCGTTCTTTCCCCGCCTGTTTATTGACTCCCGTGTATGACCTGTTTTTCTGTTCTGACCTTGATTTTTGCCTTGCGCTTTTGTCTTGTTGTGGATATCTGGTTTTTGACTTTTTGCTCTGGCTTCTCGACTGTGATTTTAGATCATCCTATTGTTATTAAAGATCTTAACTGTAGCCTCGTCTGCGACGCCTATTTCCGTCTGCCACCGTTACAGGTAACAGAAGTGCGTAATAAAGCTTTGGGCCTGCCGGCGGGCCCTGGCCATGTAAGGAGTTTAGATATTTTCTGCTGACTATGTGACAAAATCAAATGCTTCACTACTGTTCATGAAGAATTATTAGCAGCAGACTGTGTGGCAAAAACAATATGAGTGTCTATAACAAGTCAAATGTTAAAACAGGCAGATTACTGGGACAGTATGGTGCTGTTGAGTACTAAGAAATGCAAGCTCTAATGTTGTATTCCTTGTTTGGTGTGGACCATGGCAAAAAACACATTTCCACCAACAGCGAATTGAACTATGGTTCACTTGGAAGCAAACCAAGACCAGCGAGTTTTGGTGGACCATGGTTCAGTTGTTTAGTGTGCACCCACGTATGGAGTGTTCACACCTGTCAAAACAAAGTAAAGAATAATGCCTGCACCAAACAAAGTAGGTGTGAAAGCACCCTGAGAATTAATGGAGTCTTCAATGACTGATTTTCTTGTATTTCTAGTTGTACTCTACTGCAATTTGCAGGCCTATGTTAGCATGCTTTATTAGTACAGTTCAAGCATCAAAAATATCTAACTAATGTGTTTAAAGCAGTGCTTTTGTACAAAGGGTATGCCATCCAGCAAGTGAAGGAATCTTAATGAGCAGCTCTACTGGAAGTTTTTAAAAAGCTCAAGACCTATGCAAAGACAAATGAGAGTTTATTAGACGAAATTCCATCTCTAAGATAGACTGCGCTAGCACAGGAACGGCATCGCAAAATAAAACGGCTTCTCTCATCATAAAATGATTGAATGAGTTGAGTGCCTGAAGTGTTGGCTGATTAGTCATGGAAAGTTGTGAAAAGTAGATATGGAGAGTGCTGAGTGTGCCGTGAAGCTTGGAACTCATAAAAATTTGCACAAAACAAATCAAGGGTCTTTTCTCATAGGGCCAGAGATCACCACAGCACCTCTCTCCAAAACACTTCTATTCCCTTTAAGTGTCAGTGTTCATCGGTGTTAATTTATTTAAAGCAACCAGAATTGACACAAGCATTCCAGTTTGGCGTTTGCATAGCTGCTGGTGGGCTTTGAAACCAAAGCATTAACATAGGCAACTAAAGTCTTAAAAAAACATTAAAATTATATATTTTTATATTTATTTAATTTCTTGTTTCAACAACCAATAAGTACAAATTGTTCATTTTCAGCATCAAACAAAAGCAGGAACCATATTAAAAGAACATGACACAAAAGCCTCAATAACTGAATGTAATTTAAAAAAAAATCAGTATTAAGTGTGTCCACCCTTTGTATTAATTACAGCTTTCATTCCTTGCTTTTAGGTTTTTAGCAATCTGCCACAAAGTTCAGTCTTAGAAGTTGGTGGCATTTTATACTTCTCATGTTCAAAGTAATCTTGACTCTGGAGTGGCCAGTAGGTTGTCCTGAGAACACCAGAAGCTTATTTGTTTGGTTGGCAAATGTTCTTCTTTTTTTGGTTATTTCCTTTTGTCTGTAACACTTTCTTGATAGCTAAACATCCTTTCAGACCTACAGTGTTGAATGGAAGGATGGACAGAAACACTTGTGGATTTTTTTCAGATCTGAAGCAAGAGTTGAGCTTGATTTTCTTTCATTATCTGTCAAATATGAAAACTTTAAGTACTGTTTATCTAATGGTGATCAGTTTGGTGGTCTACCGGTGTAGGAGCCTCTTTTTCTCTATAAATTTCAAAAGCCTTTTTAAACACCAGTTCTGTAATCTCCTCTTCTCATTTCTTATTGAAGGGGATTATCTTAATCTACTTAGATGTATCTTCTAAATAATAAATAACTTGTACTTAATGGCTGTTTTGAGCAGAAATTAATTAAATGAAGGATTGTCTGTATAGTGAGATACTTAACCTCACAACATATATAGTGTATTGCTTTTGTACAGTTTTAAGATAAAGTAAAAAAGAGACAGTTCTCCAGTACAAGAACTATCTCTCGAGCTGGGTAATATCGAATTATAGCCGAGTCATAGCCACAGTTTGTAAAACAGGGCAAAGGTGATTCTATGGTCTGCAGTTTTTCAAACTGAACAGAATAAACTCATTGAAATAGCCCTTTACTGCCATGCATTCAGGCACCAACTATCCAAACAGACTGCATGTTTGAAACATGAATCAGCGGCCTTACAACACTTTTTACAACACTCTCTCTAAAATACAGTGTGAGTGTCAATTAATAGCAGAATAGTATATAAAAAAGTTATACTATTATACCATGATACACTATCTTTATATTGCCTCCATGACTTTTTATTTATGCTGCAAAGACAATGATTATAAACTGATATCACTGTCTTCTCCATAATATTCATAAGGGCAAGCACTGTTTAAAGCCTGGTTAATGCAAAGCTCAACAGATTATGAGTACACATTATATGTAGCCTGTAGGCTGACTGCCATCTAGTGTTGGCAAGACACATTGCAACAGGTTAAACACAAAGGTAGCTCCTCATCACCAGCTTTTCACACACTGACTATCCAAATTAACTGTATTTAGTCTCACATAGCTGCCTAAATCTCAAAACCTCCAGGGCCCTCAGGCGTGCTGAGTAGGATGGCACAGCAGCAGTGATGTAGCTGACATATCTGGCTGCTGTGCTCCACCTGCAGGCCACTGCAGGCACCATCTGCAAGGCCAGGTGTTTTTCTCAAAGCACAGAGAAGGGAGTCAGTGGACCTAATGCTTCATGACAGCTGCACTGCAGTGTTCATGTTCCACCTATTTATCTCTTTAAATGACGAGTGTGATAAACATACTGCATATTTTACATTCTGGGCTACAAGTGCTTGTAAAGTACTCCTCTGATTGGAAAGACACTGGATAACTTGGTGTGAAGTAACTCTAAAGCATGTAATTTCCAACCAACAGTGTGTTGACTAGTGGAAAATGCAGTACTGTGCAAAGGTTTTTGGTCAGCCAATTAAATTATTCAGCTGTTATCTGGGCAGCCAATGCAAACACCATACAAAGTTACAATACATAAAACTAAACATTTTTGTCCAGGCATATCTTGTAAGATAGAGGAACACAGGTTTGGTTCCTTTTCTCTTTCATGCACTTCAACTATTGTATAGATTTCATCACTATTGCAGCAAAATCACCTGTCTCTAAAATGATAAATTAAAAGAAAAAAGAAAGAAATGTCCTTAACTTTGATGTATGTTTATATAAGTGATCTTACTCCATATAATTTAGGACCATTTCTATTTGTCCATTCAACATAAGATCACAATACAAATGGCATTTTCACATTATGTTTAAAAATAAAAAGTTACAAGGTTTTTATATGATTTGTGATTACATTCCACCCCTAGCACAACTGATTTAACTTACTGAGGTATACATTAATTACATGCTGTATTTGCTACATCTGTTGTACACATGCCTACTTGCCTCCTACAGTGGTGCTATAATAGTCCCAAGAGTGAGATTTTCCAGTTTGAGGAGTAGGAATACCCCCTTCTGATGATGCATCTTGAAGGTGGAAAGAACCTTTAGAAAACTATAACAGCTTCGGAGCAGATAAAATGTGGGCTGGTTAAAATATTCTCGGTTCTCTCTCCTGCAAGCTGCAAAGGGAAGCCAGATAACTAATGTCAAATATCACGCCTGTATTTTGCAATGTATTCTGGCTACTGTAGTCAGAGAACAAAAAGCATATAAAATTGTAAATTTTATCAAATGGTTGAGGCTGAGGGAAGAAATGCTGCGCTAGTGAATATTACAATGACAAATAACATAGTTAATGCTAGTTTTAGATGAGAACACCCCTTTAAAAATAAAGGTGCCAAAAAGGGGTCTTTGGAGCGATGCTACAGATGTACCACTCTAAAGAACTTTTCAATAGTTGATTCTATGAAATTTCCTAAAAGAGATGTGAGGGTGAAAAACCTTCTTAAAGTTGAAAGAACCTCCACGTAATGTACAGGTTCAACACCAATTCAATATTTTTCCTAGAATCTTACACCCAGGCCAAGAATCCTTTAGGAACCTTTATTTTTCAACAGTGTACTGGACTGCTATGAAGGAATGCTTCTGTTACCCTACCTGCTTGCATTCATATTTATTATTGAATGATAAGTGTTGGCAAATAAATGCTGTCCAGATAATTAGCAAATTGTTTTAAACTTTTGAACTGTACTGCATGTGGTGCTGAAGCCCTTTCCCTGAACTTTAGTCCCTTCATAATGACGTTTGCATGAGCGTGGCTGAGGGATAGAATGAATGAAAGAGACGTGGTAAAGGAAGAGGGGACAAAGTGACAGACAAGACGAGTGGGTCGAGACGACGTGAAAGAAACAAAGAGGAAAAGTAATAAAGAGAGAGAGAGAAAGACCATGGCAGCAGTCTCTCATGGTGTGGCTGGTGAAGAAATAACTGACCTTGAGTGGTGAGATGTGTGAATGAGAGACGTAGCCGTGCACATTCTCGATCTCCGACAGGTTCTTCTCTGACACATGCACCAGCTCAGGCGCTCGCACCTCATTGGTCAGCCGAGGGAAGCCATGCTCAGGAGGCGGCGACTCGTCATCCTGATAGCGGTACTGTGGCAAGGAGGAAGAGGAAGAGGAGGAGGATGAGATGCAGGGGGAGGGGTTAAAAAAACAAACAAACAGGCCAATCAGATTGATGCAAAGAGACATCCAAAAACTGCTGAACACACCAACTGACACCCATGATGTGTAAGCTATCACGTGGGCCTGAATATGCATGTAAGTCTGGACGTCTTTGTGTTTCATACAAAGCTTCCGCACTAGACACATGGCTCTGAAACCAAAGAGGTTGATGGGAGTGGCATACAAGCAAAAATAACGATAAAATGCAGACTGAGAGAAACGTCTGGGAGTGCAACAGCACTGCGATGAAGGCAAAAATGTTTGTGTTGCTGTTGTAAGAAAACCCCATATTTTTGCCGAAATGGTAACTCTATAGGAGAAAGAAAAAAAATAAAATACACCTTAAGCTCCTTGGCACACCGAAAAAGAAAATCTACTTAAAAAGTGAATTTACTTTTATTTACATGAGCCGAATATACACAATATAACGTTTACGCAATGTTGCATTTCTTTTGCCAATAATCATGCTGATGTCATACTTTATACACATAATTACACACATATGATGTAAACATCTGAATAAAGCAAATAAAGTTCACATTGTTTTTTATTTAATAAATATATACATCCTAAGGCTTGTTATTCAATAACTACATGGAAAATAATGTAAAATGATGAACTGTCACTTAACATTCACATCGCTTTTCAAATTTTCAGGTAGCCTGTTTGCTATGACAAGCCTACTCGTTTCCAAAAAATACAAGTCTAAAAAAAGGCGTTATGAGGTTTTCTTATATCACTGACATAGTGATGGGAGCGAGTGCAGTCCCTCTAATGTGTATCCCATCTTCCCCTGAGACAGGGAGGCCCCTTTTTGCCTCTCCTTCTGCCCTCAAAATGACCGGTCATGCACGTGGATCCAAGCGAGCCGATGCTGCTAAGGGATGTGATTGAGAAGAGCTGCCTCAGTGTCATCCACGCTCTAGTTATATAGAAGAATAACAGAAGCAGTATGAAGAAAAAAAAGAGTGCAGTATGCAAGAGGTGGGCAAAAAAGCGCACTATATGCATGAGGCGGGCTCTGTAGTGTGGCGGATGAATGAAGTAAGGGAGTTTTCTGAAGCGACGGGGACGCCGACTCTATCTCACCCAGGGCGAGCTCATCAGAGCAGGGTTGGGGTTCATACAGGCCGGAGAGTGGGTCTGCTGTTGGGTGCCCTGAACCGCCGGAGGCCTGTTCTGTAAATACACACATACACACACATAGGAGTCCAACCATAAATGTCCAACTCCAGACGGTCATATATCGCACAAACTAATCAAAAACAACATGAACCAGATACAGATATCACACAAACACAAGGGAAGAAGCTTCAATTTGTGACCAGCCAGAGTTTATGGCGTATTGACACACACATTAATTATACATACACACTATATGACAAATTTCGCAAAGCCCACACAGTAACAGGCCAGTCTATTATGAAAGCTCAGCCCAGAAGGCCACAGAGTTACAACTAAAGCAACAAAAACATCACTAATCTACGCAGGACGACACAAAAAATAAGCATGTGAAGATTGTCATATTAACCTTAAACTGTGAGCTTATTATTCTGTTATTAATATTACAAAAATTAATTTAATTTTTAATTTTTTATTTGTTGTGTTATTCAGTGTTCCACAGTGCAGTACTGTACCCCTCAGCCTCAACAGTTTGAGAAAATTCATAATTTTATATCATTTTCAAGTTTTTGTTCATCAGTGTCTTCTCACTGCAAATATTGGCTAATGAATACAAGCGAACTAGCTTTAGTGTTACTGTTACTTCAGTCACTGAACAAATTTTTAAAAAAGGAAAAACTTTTACTCAGTACAAAATGGATGCGAAAGACAATGTTTTTACCATTTCAACCAGAGAAAAGAAGCTATTTTGAAGTAACTATCTTGCTAACTTTAGCTCACATGAGTATTATATTCTCTTTATTGTAATGACAACTTGTAGAAAGTTATGCAGCTGCAATAAACGTTATGAAAATATTTCAAAACAGCCCACCCCAAAAATGTATCCCAAAGCCGTTCTAGCTCTTTGAAATCCCACCTTTATGATACCTCATCAGAAGGGGGTTTTCTCCACCTTTCTACTGGAATCATGTATATCAATTATTTTACAACAGCTTCAAATTGGTCTAGCAAGTATTTAAATATGTAAGACTGCTATTTCTTTCACAACTACTATTAATCTAGTCATGTTGTTTTGAATTTGAGAAACAAATTTAGAACCTCCTCTGATTTGTTGGAGTTTAAGGACTCAATTGTAATCAAACTCCAAATGCATTTAAATGACAGAAGTAGTTCTTTGAACTATTAGATCACTTTAGCTGATCAAGAAATTGCATGTTGCCAAAAGGATTTAGGCACCAGAGCAAAGGAAAAGAGTGTTGCTTATATTTGTACTGGGCATAATGACAGCTTTATCAAGCCCAGTTTTAGGAAGTAAATGAGATCTAAGCTTTCATTTCCTCCTGTGTTTAAAACATTTAATGAGCCCCTCTGTCACAAAAAACATCTGAAAGTCTGTCTTTCTGTGCGGTGCTTTGAAGCGTTTTGCATGAACAGCATTAAATTTGCACGCTGATGGCTGGGGGAAGCTCCTCTTGGCTTGTGTGGGCGTTAACCCTTGGCAGCAGCAGCACGTCACAGGCTGTGGCACTGCCAGCAGCCTGCCTCGGATATTATTAGGCTAGGTTTCAGGATCCCTCCATAGCAGCCTGAGGAGAGCTTTGCAAACAGATGCAAAAACAAGCAAGAGAAAACAAGATGCACAGCGAAACGTAACAAACTACCTTCTTAGTTATGCAAATACAATAACAAAATGACAATGGTAACTACACAGCTGGAGCCTAAGGAGACATTAGGGACTGCATACACCAGGGATAGCCAAGCTTCCTATCTTGAGGGCCAAATTATAATATTTCTAGTAGACTGAGGGCCAAAAAAACAATACAGCTAGTTATCAACTTATTAGCTTAATGTTTTTGCACATTGCCAGCATACATGGAGAAACTGTATTCATTAAATAGATGTCATGTCTTTCCCCCTCTGGGGAGACTCAACTTGGACTCACTCAGGCTCTGCCCACTCTCCTCCTCCCTCATACCTGCAACTCATTTCAAGGACATTTAGGCTCCTATTTAAACCCCTTTGTTTTTGAGTTGTGAAGTTTCTGTCTGAGTTATTGAGCCTTTTTTCCTTTGTATTGTTTCTCCGTTTTTGTACCTTGCGGTGTCGTTCTGTCTTTTTTTTTTCTAACATTGATTTTCTTTTACTTTTGCCTGCTTGTGTGCTGACCCCTGAGTGTCATATGCAACAGTACTAATAGTTTCTTCACATGCAAGTCACATTTACTTTTATAACTGATACAGGAAAACAAAGAAACTTTCCAATGTTGTTGGACAGTAAACGTGTATTTTATTCTATTAAATTCAGTAAAAAGAAATTTACATTCTGTTGTATTTAGGGGCGAAAGATAAATAGTTTTTATATTGAAATTGCAAATCCAAAGAGTGCAAATCAAAAGTGCTGCGACTTTAATTCCAGCCTACATTATTAGCAACATTTCTCTAACAAGTTTAAGGTAGGGACATTAAACCTAATTACACAAAGTTTGTAAACTGTCTACAGATAAGTTAGACCATTTAGAAGCTACCGGACACCTATGTACTGTGTACATGACAATAATGTACACAGCACTACATTCAGCATTCAAACCTCAAGCTAGAAAAGTGTGTGTACTGGTCTTGGCCAAAAACAGGCCTGTATCTCAATATATAGAAAATAATCAAAGATTTACTCTCAGTCACATTATTGGTCAGAAAAATCACAAATACATACAATTCAAAAATTGTTCAGCCCCAGCTATACAAGCTTGTAACTGCTGCACATTTGTTATTACATCAGCACTGCAGTCAACGGCAACCGCATGGTATCAAGGGTTATAGATTTTTTTACTTTTTATCACATTACACTTTTTTGCGGGGCAACTTTGGCCTGTAGCCCCCAAATTGAGCAGTGCTGTTATAGACTCTAGAAAGACATAAGGAAGGTGGTTATTCCTACCAGACATAGTAGGAAGAGATGTATGAAGAGGTCAGTGTGTGGTCTCAAGAGTTTATTTTCCTGTCTGGGTGTGTCATAAGAGTGCCAAACCACAGTGTACGTCAGTGCTTGTTAGCTCTTTTTAGCAATGCATGAACAGAAAGACTTCATATTTAGCTCCAAAACATCCTCCTACAGTGCTATGTATAGAGAATAATCACATTTCAGAAACACCTACTGCACAGCGCCACAACAATCCTAAGAGGTTTAGTATTATCCAAACTGACAGACACTCCAAGTTGGAACATTGCAACACACCTCCACACAAGAGCGGTCTGTAATACTGAGCTTCTTTTACTTCAAATTATGTATTATACAGCCAAATGAGAGACACAGAGAGAGAGAGAGAGAGAGAGAGAGAGAGAGAGAGAGAGAGAGACAGAGAGACAGAGAGAGAGAGAAAATATGTGCACAAAAGGCAATCCAGGTGATCAAAGACTGCAAGGACTGTGAAATACATTTGAACAGCACCAAAGTAAAGTGTGGCTAACAGTGTTCAGAAACACTGAAGCCAGCCACTGCATCTTTTAAAACTGCCACAAACACTGTGTCAGTGGACAGGCTCAACAAGCTAAAAGGAGAACACTAACTGTCAATTTTGTTATGTTAGCTAACACTCATGTCGGCTAGTATAATTGGCTAGCATCATATGTTGGGGAAGAGTGAGTGAGGCCAATTGCGTTCTCTTGGACTACAGGCTACAGGCTGTGGCATCGCCAGAAATTGTAGTGTCCCAAAGCCAGGACCAACACTCAGGAGGCAGCACTACTTGGAAGCCAAAGCCATGATTACTTCAAACTCATTACATTATTATCTGCTCAAATTACTTGTTCAAACAACTCAAAGCACATTCGCAATGGAACCACAACATCAGGTTAAGACCACATGCAAGTTTATCTGCAACCATAAAGTTACTCTTATATTGACAACATACAGCTGTATGAAAAGGTTTGGAAAAGCACGGGTGAAATGACGTTTTGTTGATTTTCCAAGAGAAAATAAGTTCACATCTTCTACAGAAAGCACACTTCTGCACATTTCAATGCAAAATAACAGTTTACTTGCCAAATTTAACATAGTGGGGAAACATATGGCAGATTTAATATTTTATGTTTTATTTTTTCCCCATTATGTTAAACTCAAATATGAATTGAATAGAAGTTGTGCACTATAATTTGCAATAAATGCCATATTTGAGTTAACATATTTTCATTTAGAAAATCAACAAAACACGTAATTTGTCCAGGGGTGTTCAAACTTTGCATACAACTATACGTAACAGCAGCACATATACAAAGTAGCTCAAGTCCTCATGCACAGCAGTAGCCACAATAGCAGCTGCAAACGTAATAGAATAAAAATGAATAAAAGAATTTTAAACAAATTCAACAGTCACAACTAGCATATGTTCTGGCTAAATATTTGTTAAATAAACATGATTCTTTGAAAAGTTATGTATTAAAACAAGCCAAGAAACAAACAAATAATCTAACGGTGACAATAAAATCAAAAGGCAAACTGAATCTACTTTTGTATGGTCATTCATAAAAGCCTGTTCTGCTCCAACCTACTAATCAAGCAGGCAACGGAGTTAGATCATGGTCAAATATAATAAAACACTGTAATATCTCATTCAAAGATCAATAATAGGTGGACCTGCTGTGTGGTATTTTACACATGAACAGAACATTAGACTGCAGTTATTATATGTATATGAGCGCAGAGCTGAATGGGGTGAATAGAAAGTAATTACTGGTGGAGGTGTGAAGTCTAAGGGGTTTTTAATAAGAGGGAGGTTGTGCAGTGGGATCTCCCCTATTTAAAGACCCTATTGTGCCCTCTTCTGAATAACGCTCCTTTATTGAGCTAAGCACAGCTCTCACACTCTGACTCTGACTTTCTCTCACTATTCCCTTCAGAGGAGCTATTAGTGTGACCATATTCAGGTAATGGTTTACCTAAACATTTCAACACATATCTGATCTCTCTTAGTAAAAGGTGAAGAAGGATAAAATAATAAAGTGCAAGCAAAACAGGAAAAAGAAAGAATATAACACTTAAGATCAAAGACTTGCTTATTCATG